AAACGAGAATACAACGATAAATCCTATACGAAAATACACCTCAATTTCGGCATTTTAATTAAAAAAAAAAAGTCATTTTTTTCTCATTATGCACTGCGTGCTGCAGGATTTTTTTTTTTTGGTGCACACTGACCACACAGACCCATTCTCTCACATGTGGGCCTACCAGCTTTCTCCTGCTTGATTTGAAGCCGCTAGAATTTACGCGTATAAATACATCCAAAACAGTGGCACGTAAGACGTATATATACGACCAAAACAGTCAAAGGGTTAAATGGGGATAATCACAGACAGCACTACTGACGACTATCCCACCTTCCTCCTAACAAACATCTGTAAAAACACAGTGGAATACAAGATGTTCTCCTTTAAACTCCATGACACGGCATCAATAAGTAACTTCACAACAAAGCTAAGTACAGTTGCCTGGCCTGCAGAATTTTCCTACTGCCAGTAGTATCAATGATTGTATAGACATATTCTTAACAAATTACTTAGCTCTATAACAAACAATGTCCCATAAAAATGAAACAGATTACGAATAAACCACTAGGTTGCCCATGGCTTACTAAACAGCATACTAGGTCATTGATAAGAAAAATCAATATTGTAAAGAATATAGACTGGGCTTAATAAACAAAAAATTTATTAAACATTATGCATTGGTCCTCACCAAACTAAGATATAAAAAAGACCTGGAAGACACTCTTTCAGATTCTGGGCATCCACAAACTAAAAAAAAAAACTAGGGATATTGTCCTAACTAATCAACTGAACCACAGCTACAGCCTATTGATACACGTAACAAGATAAATGACTTTCTCAGCCATAGGATCAAATTTCGCCAACGTTAAAATCCCAGGTGCCAATTCCCGAGCAAGTGATTACTTAGATGGAAATTTCCCAACTTCCTTCTATCTTGCACCAAGTCCACAGAAGTCACCATGATTATTAAGTCACTTAAAAATAAATCAGGAAATCTAGCTCAAGTCCCACCATTATTGTACAAGTGAGTGGCTCATGTTCTTTCGCTCACTATTTCATTACTGTTTAACAGATCACTAGAAACCAGCACTTTCCAGACACTACTCAAGTTACCAATACATCTGTGGGGTCACCACCTTTGTGTAAACAACTACAGGCCAATATCAAACCTACCTTTGCTGTCCAAAATCTTTGAGGAACTTGTGCACAAGAGATTATACTCCTGTATAACAGCACAAAACATCCTCAACCCCTGCCAATTTGGCTTCAGGGAAAAAAGCACAAACGATGCAATTGTAAAAATGCTAGACCTGTTTTACACAGCACTTGAAAAAAATTAATATCCACTAGGACTCTCTATAAACCTAAGGAAAGCCTTTGATACAGTAGCCCACAGCATCCGACTCCACAAACTTGACCAGTATGGTATAAGAGGCCATGCACTTACATATATCAAATCCTACCTTATTAACAGATATCAATATGTCTCTATTAAGGACACAACCTCATCAGCAAGACCACTGGATACTGGAGTACCACAGGGAAGTGTCCTTGGCCCCCTGCTCTTCCTCTTATACATTAATGATCTTCCAAACGTATCACAACAACTTAGACCTGTTCTCGTTGCTGACAACACGACTTGTGTCATCTCCAACCCTAATCTTGCCTCACTCAACACTATTGTTAATGAAGAGCTAGTAAAAATATTGACCTGGATGACTGCCAATAAACTAGCACTTAATATTGACAAAACCTTCTACATTATGTTTGGGAGCAGAACTGGTGATGCCTAACTGAACATTATGATTGACAACACTCTTATTGCTAAACATAATGAGAGCAGATTTCTGGGTCTGCACCTTGACAGCATCTTGAAATTCAACACCCATGTCCAACACAACAAAAAAAAGTATCCAAAACAGTTAGGATCCTCTCAGATACATTATTATGTACCACAATCAGCCCTACTCACGTTATACTATTCACTCGTCTATCCCTACCTCACCTATATTATTTATACCTGAGGATCAACAGCAGCAACCCACCTAAAGCCAATAATGATGCAACAAAAAGCTGCAGTAATAATTATCATATAATCCAATGCTAGACAACACTCCTCCCCCCAATCCTCTTCAAAGACCTAAACTTATTGTACAAAACATTCACACCTACTACTGTGCAACCTACATTTACAGAACCATAAATTCTAGTATTAATCCTGAACTAAAACACTTTCTTGATAGTTGCAACAGGACCCAAAGACATAATACCAGACACAAAAATATGACATTGCTTGTGTCCAGCTAAATCTCTTAAAAAATTCAATGTACATAAAAGGGCCTGAAATCTGGAAATCTCTGCCCCAAATCTCTAGAACCTCAGACTCAACCAGAATTTTCAAAACCACCTTTAAAAAATGCCTCTTCCTAACACACCCCATCATAAACTATGTGAAAACCACATATATATTTTCTGTATCATGAACACATCCAAAACAAAATAGACTTACTCTCATCATCTGTAATTCTCCCTCTTTTACACTTACACTCACCCAAATGACTGTAAGCATAAAATTCCTAATAGTTATTGCCTAATTAATCTTAAGTTAGTCCTAAGTTTGTCTGAAATTCTCTGTCAATATAGGAGCTCTTATAGAAACAGTGTATCATGCCGAGATAAAACCTTTACCATTACTCATTTTAGTAATCGTAATACTGTTATATGTTTTGAACTTTTCTTCTTTCAACAAACCGTCTGTATCCCACCGAAGCAGGGTGGCCCAAAAAGAAAAACAAAAGTTTCTTTTTAATTTTAGTAATGTATACAGGAGAAGGGGTTACTAGCCCCTTGCTCCCGGCATTTTAGTCGCCTCTTACGACACACTTGGCTTATGGAGGAAGAATTCTGTTCCACTTCCCCATGGAGAATGTTTTGAACTACCTCACTACAGTGGACCCCCAGTTCGCGATGTTATCGATATCCGATAAATCCGGTAACTGATGCATTATATCGCCAAAAATTTGCCTCAGTTCCCGTTACAAACCCCGGTATGCGATGCGATTCGTACGAGACGTGTCCACGTGTGGCCTGAACTGCCCCGTGTGTGCCAGTGTTTACAAGCCAGCCAGTGTGCGCGCATCTAAGGATACATTCGGTACATTCCATATTATCCATATTATCACTGTTTTTTGTGCTTGTTTCTGCAAAATAAGTCACCATGGGCCCCAAGAAAGCTTCTAGTGCCACCCCTTCAAGACCAAGGGTGCTAATGACTATTGAAATGAAGAAAGAGATAATTGCAAAGTACGAAAGTGGAGTGCGTGTGTTGGAGTGCATGATGATTTGGTAAAGAAATTCCTGCAACTAGTGGTGATGTGAGTGAAGTTAAGGCCAGCAAAGGTTGGTTTGAAAGATTTAAGAATCGTAGTGGCATACACAGTGTGGTAAGGCATGGTGAGGCTGCCAGTTCAAGTCCTAATGGAAGGGGATTCCCCTTCTTAACACTAACACCATCCACACACTCCCCTCCTCCCATCCCATCAATCATCACCAGATCTTCATTAAAGGTAAGTGTCAATTATTCTATTGTTATTATTCTATTGTTATTGTTGTTATTGTAATTATTCTATTGCATTAAACTTAATATTTCATGTGGTAAAGTTTTTTTCATGCTTTTGGGTGTCTTGCACAGATTAATTTGATTTCCATTATTTCTTATGGGGAAAATTGATTCGCTTTCCGATAATTTTGGTTTACGATGAGCTCTCAGGAATGGATTAATATCGCGAACCGGGGGTCCAATGTATTATCAATCTTATTAATGATAAACTTTTTAATTGCCTAACTTTTATATCAGTGTGCAATAATGAACATTAAAATGTACTGTTCCATAACCTGTGTCAATATATAGTCAGTAAGAATTAGGATTAGTCTGCCTGAAATGCCTAGGCATGCTAGTGGCTTTCTTTGTAATTAATATTTTGTAATATGTAAACTACACATTGTAAGCTTTGCAAGGAAATAAACATTTTCTTTTTCATTTTCATTTAACGTTTGCTTTAGTACATTCTTTAAGATTTAGCTTATTTGCTGTTGTCTATTACAGAAGTTTAGAGAGACTATTTTCCTTGTTAAGACTGGAAGTTTCAGTTTTAGTTCCTCCCTAAATTTGATAGCTTTATTCCATCCATAATTTAATACTGAAAATCAATAAGATCACATGTAACAAATATGTACATGTGGGAAGGTAAAAATAAGATATTAGAAGATGGAATGGTATAAGGAAAATAAGTTCAGTGTTTAGTTTTGATTGTAGGTACAGTAGTAGGTTGGTAGACAGCAACCGCCCAGGGAGGTACTACCGTCCTGCCAAGTGAGTGTAAAACGGAAACCTGTAATTGTTTTACATGATTGTAGGATTGCTGGTGTTTTTTTTTCTGTCTCATAAACATGCAAGATTTCAGGTACTTCTTGCTACTTCTACTTACACTTAGGTCACACTACACATACGTGTACAAGCATATATATACACACCCCTCTGGGTTTTCTTCTATTTTCTTTCTAGTTCTTGTTTATTTTCTCTTATCTCTATGGGGAAGTGGAACAGAATTCTTCCTCCGTAAACCATGTGTGTTGTAAGAGGCGACTAAAATGCCAGGAGCAAGGGGCTAGTAACCCCTTCTCCTGTATATATTACTAAATATGAAAGGAGAAACTTTTGTTTTTCCTTTTGGGCCACCCCACCTCGGTGGGATACGGCTGGTGTGTTGAAAGAAAGAAGAAAAAAGAGAAACTTTCGTTTTTCTTTTTGGGCCACCCTGCCTTGGTGGGGTAATAATGGCATAGCTGAAATGCAAATGAAAGTACACTAAATGTAGTGGACCACCAATTTATCAGTGGCAGATGAGTTTTAGTAATGAGATATATGGAAGATAATGTACATTACAATTTCTTAGTAAGAATTTGGATAGCATGTTTGATGTTAGTTAAACCTACAAATATTTTCTATATTTCAGGTTCGATATGATGATGAAGTAAAACGTGTGGTTGTGGAACCCCTCGAGCTAGCTCAGGAATATCGCAAGTTTGACCTTTCAGCTCCTTGGGAACAGTTTCCTAATTTTAGAGACCACAGTGCTGCAGAAGAGGTGCCAGTAAAGAAAGATGAGGAGTAAGCCCTAGTTCAGCCAGGTAATACATAGTGGAGTTTCTGAAACAGATTCATTTACTATGAAACTCTTATGCTTTATGAAGATTGGTAAATTCTTGCTGATTTATGAAAATTTTATTTTGTTTGATGTAAAGTGGGTGCAGAAAGAAATTAAGAGTATATATAATGTGTAAATAGATGTAAAAGTCATATTGAAATAAAAATCAAAATAAGTTTTTTTTTTTTTCTTTGTGCCATATTTTTTTTAATATGTCAGCCATCTCCCACTGAGGCAGGGTGACCCAAAAAAGAAAAACTTTCACCATTATTCACATATAATCACTGTCTTTGCAGAGGCACTATGACAGTTTAGATGTCACTCCAAATAGCCAGTATCCCAAACCCCTCCTTTAAGGTGCAGGCATTGTACTTCCCACCTCCAGGACTCAAGTCCAGCTAAACAGTTTCCCTGAATCCCTTCACAAAATATTACCCTGCTTACACTCCAACAGCTCGTCAAGTCTTAAAAACCATTCGTCTACATTCACTCCTATCTAACATGCCTGCTGCATATTTTTCTGGATAATGCTGTATATCTAAGATACCTCAACAGATTTGTTTCAGATTCTTCAAGTGAATGATGACAGGATAGTGTACCTGTACTATACTGTATTGTTTTTTTCTGTAGTTTTCTTCTAGTGATTAATTAGGAAATAAATTTTTCATTATTAGGCATCTCGATAGAAAGTTATCCATATCCTGATACAAGATACAGTTCTCATTATACAGCCTCTCCTCACTTAACGATGGAGTTCCGTTCCTGAGACCACGTCGTTAAGTGAATTTATCCTTAAGTGAAGAACGTGCTGTAATGGTAATTAGAGAGTTTGTGTCAACCATCTTTGATATTGTTTTATTAATGTCACCTTTGCACCATTTATAACATTTCTGGTATATTTTTAAATATTTAAACAGTAGTGTACTGTATATTGAAATTAACAGAATAGGTGAAATCAACTCTAATATACATTGCAGTGGACCCTCAAGTAACGGCAAATTTGTCTTACGGCGCTCTTTGGCGTAAAAAATGGCTTTACCAGCGGTGAAAAACTCGTCTAACAACATTCGTCCTGAACTTGTCCATGGGGCCAGAGTGCGGCCTGAGCGGGCCCAGCCACTCCAAGACTCCATGTACAGCCAGTGTGCCAGTGTTTACAAGCCGTTTCGGTCGATTCCTAGTGTACCTGTGATATATTTTGTATTATACCAGTGTCTTTAGTGCTTTTAACTGCTAAATAAGCCACCATGGGCGCAAAGAAAGTTTCTAGTGCCAGCCCTGTGATAAAAAGGAAAGGAACACAATAAAATTCAAGAAAAAACTTGTAGCAAAGTACCAAAGTGGAGGAGGAAGAGAGAGGGGAGAATGTGCCTTCTGCAGTGATTCATTGATTCTACGATATGTACGATACTAAAGTAGCAGATATCGATAAAGGCCTATAGTGCCAGCCAGCGATAAAGTGTATAATTAACAGTGTAGCAGTAAGTTAAGCGAGTAAGCGATAGAAAGACGACACGAAAGTAACTCTCCAATGTTGTTGGATGTGTGTACATCCGCTGAACATACGCCGGCCTGCTATCTTCCAGTACCCTAAACCTCTGCCAGCATCTCCTCCATCAAACTAACTAATTAAACTAACGTTTCCAAGGTAAGTGTCAATATAAAAGTGTAAGCATAAAAGTAAATATATTAAGTGTAAATATAAAAGGACCCCAGTGGAAATACCTAAGTCACTCTGACTTTTTTTGGGTTATCCTAGATACTTTACACATATGCTGCTATGTATGATAATCTATGTAACTGTATTTGTGTATACCTGAATAAACTTACTTATTTATAAATTAAAATGTAATTATTTCTTATTTATTAATTAAAATGTAAATGTTTCTTATTTATAAATTACATACATTAAGTGTGATGGTGGTGCTGGGAAAATCCTCCACCGCCACCAACACAGCTTCTCTCAGTGGTGGCCCTTAAATCCAACAATAACACTTACACCATTTACTCCTCTCATACATTATGACATATTTTATTCATTCTAGAGTATATATCATGTTTCTATGTTATTAATATTGTTTATAATGTCAGATGAATTGTGATGGATAAATAAGCCATAGAGATGATATTAGCATCATATTGAAGCATAATAAACTTGTCTTCCTCTTGCCTCCTACGTGTCTGTCATACACCAACAAGCCGAGCCAGTAAAGATAAGTCAGTAAAGGTAGTGTGATGTTAAATGTTCATTTATCCATTTTATTAGTGCTTCATATTTATTTGTCATTATTTTCTGTATGTATATTTATATTTAATGTTAAAAAAATATTTTTTGTTAATACTTTTGACTGTCTGACACGGATTAATTGGATTTCTATTATTTCTCATGGGGAAAATTAATTCGACTCATGGCAAATTCGACTAACAGCTAGATCTCTGGAATGGACTAATGCTGTTGGTTGAGGTTAGTTTAGTTAGTTAGATTAATATGTTTATTATGCACCCTATACCCATCCTGTGGGCGATAGTCAAAAGATTACAGAGGTACATAATTGGTCCAGGGACTGGACTCCAAAGTTTTGATAGCTGAGCAAGTTACAGAGGTAATGAACTCACAATTTACAAAGGTAATGAACTCACAATTTACAAAGGTAATGAACTCACAATTTACAAAGGTAATGAACTCACAATTTACAAAGGTAATGAACTCACAATTTACAAAGGTAATGAACTCACAATTTACGAAGGTAATGGACTCCAGGTAGGTCTAGTCACAATCATGACAAGTTACAGAGGTATTTACAGATTACAGAGGTACGTAATGGGTCCAGGGACTGGGCCCCCAAAGTTTTGATAGCTGAACTAGGTACAAAGGTAATGTATCCTGTAAGAATGGTTACTTACGTTTATACATGGTTACAATCATGAACAAATTATAGAGTAATGGAAATTTCACACTTACACACACTTACACACAAACACCACACACACACACCACACCAACACACACACACACCCACACACACACACATTTACACACCTTACAACATTTAAAACCACTTACACACACTTACACACACCAATTCACACACTTACACACACACATTTACAAAACCCCCACACACCCACACACCACACCACACACAACACACGCCCACACACACACAATACCCCCAACACACAACCACACACACAACACACACACACCACACAAACACACACACACACCACACACAAAACACACACTTACAACTTACACACACACCTTACCCACACTTACTGCACACACACACACACCACACATAGTTTTAACAGAGGTACGAAAAAGCTCTTTCAGGGAGAGTGACCTAGTACGACCAGGAAGGGCAGGGCCAGGAGCTTGGCTCGCCCCCTGCAACCTCAATGGGTGAGTACACACACACACACACACACACCCCAACACAAAAACCCACACACACACACACCCACAAACACACACACACACACACACCCCCACAAAAATACACACAAACAACACCCCCACAAAACACACACACACAAAAACCCCCACACACACAACAACACACACCACCACACACACAAACCCCAAACACCCACACACACACAACCCACAACACAACCACACACCCCAACAACACACATTACACAAAACACAAACCCACACCACACAACAAAAAAACACCTACACACAAACATACACCCATCCCCCACCCCACACAAACCACACACACACACACACACACACACCACACACACACCACACACACAACCACACACAACACACATACCCCCAACACACACACCCACCCACACACAACACACACCCCAAAAACACACACACACACACACACCACACACACACAACACACACGAGGAGAGGCAGGACTGAAAGGCCCGGGACAGGGGACAGTGGTCCAGTAACTGGCTTCTCAATTCAATCCACCAAAATGCAAAGTCATAAAGTTTGGGGGGGGCAAGAAGCCCACAGACAGAGTTAGGCGGTGGACAAAGACTAAGACCTCATCAGGGAGAAAGACCTTTGGGGGGCCATAACACCGAGCACATCACCGGAGGCACACATCACCAAATAACCGCTGCAGCATACGGGCGCCTGGCAAACCTGAGAATAGCGTTCCGATACCTTAATAAGGAATCGTTCAAGACACTGTACACTGTGTATGTTAGGCCCATACTGGAGTATGCAGCACCAGTCTGGAACCCACACCTGGTCAAGCACGTCAAGAAGTTAGAGAAAGTACAAAGGTTTGCAACAAGGCTAGTCCCAGAGCTCAAGGGAATGTCGTACGAGGAAGGTTAAGGGAAATCGGACTGACGACACTGGAGGACAGAAGGGTCAGGGGAGACATGATAACGACATACAAGATACTGCGGGGAATAGACAAGGTGGACAGAGATAGGATGTTCCAGAGAGGGGACACAGGGACAAGGGGTCACAACTGGAAGCTGAAGACTCAGACGAGTCACAGGGACGTTAGGAAGTATTTCTTCAGTCATAGAGTTGTCAGCAAGTGGAATAGCCTAGCAAGTGAAGTAGTGGAGGCAGGAACCATACATAGTTTTAAGAAGAGGTATGACAAAGCTCAGGAAGCAGAGAGAGAGAGGATCCAGTAGCGATCAGTGAAGAGGCAGGGCCAGGAGCTGAGTCTCGACCCCTGCAACCACAATTAGGTGAGTACAATTAGGTGAGGTGAGTACACACCACACACAGTATAGGCTAGGTGGCCAAAGACTGCAAACCTCACTCAAGGAGAAAGATCTTGGGGTGAGTATAACACCGAGCATGTCTCCTGAAGCACACATCAGTCAGATAACTGCTGCAGCATATGGGCGCCTGGCAAACCTGAGAACAGCATTCCGATACCTTAGTAAGGAATCGTTCAAGACACTGTACACCGTGTATGTCAGGCCCATACTGGAGTATGCAGCACCTGTTTGGAACCCGCACTTGATAAAGCACGTCAA